TGGGAAGACAGAGTGCTCTGACAAGCAACTTTCTTAAGATGCGATGTGGGGGGGAAAAAAATGTGATGTGAATCCTCTTCCCCATCTTACAATTTGATCTTCGGTAAAATATATCTCATTAATTGATGATTTAAAATTGGGTAAGATGTAGCAAAAACGTGTCAGGAGCACAGGTGCGGTAACGCATGATGAGTGCAGTGTGTCCAGGATGCAGAATGTCTGACATAATATTTCAATGGGAAATTCAGGATGATTATGACGTTTAATACTGGTTTTTATGAGAATATAATCAGATATGAATACAAAAGCTCTCATATTTAAAATAGCAGTAATAATAATGTTGTCTTCAATATCTCTTTTTCTATGGCATTTTTGGGTAAAATCTTTGTCTTAACTGCCATAAAGGAAGACAGAGGAGAAACTAGGGAATCAGAAAAATAATGATAATTGGACGAAGTGTTGTCAACTGGTGCTTAGTAATGGTACACACACCCTTCTATGTTCACCCTAAATCACAAGTATAGAAGACTAAAATCTACATTTCCTAGACACCCATAAATCTAGGAATGTGTGTGAGTGAGAAAAGCTCATGCAAGATTTGGAAGGCAAACGGAGGCGGAGGCATTCTTCAGAGGCTACAAAGTAGAGTCTGAACTCCAGGATCCATTGTTTTGTCACCTGCTTGTGTCATGAGGGCAACAACTATGGCTGCAACAGAAGCAGCAGTTTCCTAACCACAGATCACAGCTATAGCGATGGCCCCAGATTGCTGCTTCTACAGGCGTTTGAATAATTTAAAGTACCTAATTTCCTGTATTAAATCTCATCCTGCCTGAAGTATCTATTAGAGATTCTGTTTCCTGCACTAAATCTAAATAATAAAATGATGTATTTGATCATCCATACTAATAAGTCTATAGATTTAAACTGCCAGTGGTTTGATTTGGAATCGGATGATCTCTCTACAAACTGTTCTATAAAAGGAACAAAAGCAACTTCTTGCTAACTTACTTTGTTCAATTCTATTAATATTTAGAAAACATCCACTAGGCAATAGGACTATTTATTAAACTTATGAAAAACTTTATCACCATGGGGTATACTATTCTACGTTTTAAAACAGAACAGCACCCATTAAAACAGTCAAATTGAATAGAACTTCCTTAGAAGCAACTTAAATGAAGTTTGTACTGTGGCTTAAAGATCAGCATGTGGATATCTTAACAGAGCAGGAAATTCAGGCAAATGTCTTTCCCTTTCTTCAAGCAAGGCACACCCAAGGCATATTGCTTTTTCCATTCCCTTTTTCTGATTGTTGAAAACAATCTGATTTCTTTTCTGAAATTCTCACTCTACCCCCAGCCACCTAACCTACCCACATTTCTAACATCCTTAAGAGCCCAGATGAAATCTTACCGCCTCCAGGGAGACTTCCCTGACCCACTTGACATGGTTTTTCCTTCATCTGTCATTTATAATTTCCATACTAATTCCATATCCCATTCTTTCTGATACGGTACTTTTATTCCTATTGACTTTTTTTTTCTGGATATAAAAACACATTGTAGCTTCCTGAAATCTATCCAGATGGAAAATTCAAGATGCTAAGTGTTAGATTTTTTGTTTTGAGCCTTTCATTTAATGTGTTTGCTTTTTTGTTTTGTCATTGCTTCATCTCCAGGCCCTAGCATAGTGCTTGATATTTGGTAGGCTCTCAATAAATATTTGAGCAACAAATAAATTCTGTTATTAACACATATTGATACACTGAAAATCCATACACCCTGTCCAATATTCATGGGACTAAAGTTCCCAGTACCTCCTTCATCCTGGAGTGTCCACATGTCTATTTTCTACCAGTAGAATATAAGCAGAAGCAAGTTATGTCCTTTCCGGACAGGAGTAACAGAAGCAGGCCCCTTTCCCTTCCAGTGTCTAGAAACAAACAGAGCCAAGGCTTTCGATGGTGAGGAAGTCACAAAATGAAAGAAGCCTAGATTTCCAAGTTCCCATGTGGGAAAACAAAGTGCGTGTTCATCAGGAAAATCCATATTGCACACTTACGTAAGTGAGAAATAAAAAGTATATTATCTATGCAGAGATTGGTATATGACGGTTTATAGAAGTTTTATTCATAATAGCTAAAAACTGGAAACAATCCAAATATTCATTAGCTACTAAGTGGATAAATATTTTTTGAGGTGATGGAACTATTCTATATACTAATTGTAATGGTGAGTACATAGCTAGCTATATTTGTCAAAGATCATTGAGCTGTGCACTTAAAAAGAGTAAATTTTACTATATATAAATCATTCCTCAATAGACATGATTTTTTAAAAAAAATCTGCTAAGACAGTGGAATCTTAGAGTTTATTTGATATATAACAAACTATGTTAGTGTTTTTCTAGCTAATACATGAATAAAGAAAGAAGAAAGTCAAACATCATACCAGGGCCCGCTTCTGCATGTTCCAAAAAGCCTTGCATGTTGCTGAGCTCATAATAAGTGCTCAGGAAAAAATATGTTAAATTTTATTTCTTTCCCACAATTTTTACATTCTGTGGTTTGCCTGTAATCATTTATATATCCATTCATCCATTGCTTCTCATCTCTGCACACCATAAAACAAAACCTGCCAAGCCCCAGACTCTACAAACACATTTTTCAAATACTTTTCATGCAAGCAATCAGGCATTGGCCTGTTTTATTCATAAGACAATTTTTCTTTCTAACTGCTAGAGCCACTTAAACATTTACTATCCATAAAACTGCTTAAATTTTTTAAGAACACAAATGGGGATTTCGTTGTACTGAATATGGAATTATCTGGTGTCGCAGCAACAAGCCTCATTGTGCCATTTGGAATCCACTTGCTGAGAAGGTAGTTTTCAAACAAATAGTCTGACCTTGTTGATCTTTCTTACAAATTTAGAATCCTAGGCTTCCAACACTCACTGCCCTTCTACCTTCAAACCATCCTTTTTCTAAATTGAGAGGAGGTAATACCCTACCATTTCATTGAATCTATATCCCAAAGTTAACCAGGCCAAATTAAAATGCCCTGGAAATAAGGAATTTAAGGGGAAAAGCAGATTCTCCATTTAGTATGATTTTCTAGAAAGTATTTCCCCAAGAATGCATAGAGTTTGAATAACAAAGTACAATAGTTTAAAGAGATGGTGAAGGCTTTAGAATCAACCAGATGTGTGTTGGAATCCCAACTCAGACACTTAATTGTTCTGTGAAAGGGGCATGTAATTTAAGCTGTCTGAGCCTGGGTTTTATCATCTATGAAAATTATATGAAAAAACACCTGACAACAGGGGATTAAGGATTTTATATATTATCCCTCCCAAGAGCTTCTGCATTGATAAATAAGACCTGGCAGATAGACAAAGCTTAATCAAAACAAGTGAATTCTTTTAAGGCAAGAATATCAAGATGCAAAAAACATTAGACCACTCTTGCATTTTAGAGTTAAGAGTGGTCTAGAAGTGAAACCACTTCTAAATTTGAAACAATTTGTTATGATATAAGAAGAGACATGAATGGAAAAACTAGATACAAGCCCCACGTGGTCAGGAACACTATGTTTTTGTTTTGTTTTTTCTTTTTCCTCATGGTGGCTCTAGCCTGGCACATGGGAGGTAATCAAAGTCACTAAATATTGAATGAAAACAGCAATTCTGGACTCGTCATCATTATAATTTGTTATCACCACAATGGGCCTTGGTTTCCTCAAATATAAAGATATTATCTGAAATGGAACTTCTAACTCTGAAATGCAAGAGTTTATAGCTCCTAAAAGAGAACAGGTCTTCCAGGGTCATCCAGTTTAATGCTGTTCCTGCTGTCTCCATTTTCATCCCTGGCAGGAGGGCAGTTAATCCTTCCAAGATGGATTGTTGCTCATCCTTTATATGGAACAGATGTAAATGACTTTGGGTGATATTTGTGTGTCTCCCCTTACATACCATTAATAATTCCCTACCTTATAAAAAATGTTCAGTGCCTTCCTAACTGAAATGTCAAAATTGACATGTCAAGATGATAGTTACTCTAAGAACAGAGTCAAATACCTCAGAAAGAGCAATTTGTATTCCAGGGTCGGCCCCGGTCCTAGAGATCCCGCACAATGCCTTGACATTATCAGAGGTCTGTGGAAGTAAAATCTGTCTCTCAAGACATATTTTTACTCTGGTCACACAATTAATGAGAGAGGCTATTAAAGCTAAGCTTTGGTTGTTAGCAATTGAAAAGGAGCTCCCTGGAAAAAAAAATGGGCTTAGAAAGAAGACATGAAAATAGAGAAACCAAATTTGGTGATGGAACTTTTTCCCTCTTTGGATGGATGATGGACAGATAATGTGAACAGATGATGGATGAATCTGTAATATGGAAAAATGGCAGAAAGAGAAAGCTGTCTTCTGTAGCACAGTGACATTCTTGGGGACCTTGCCTGACTCAAAGGAGTACAACTGCTTTGTGGGTTAATTAAGTACTCAATCATTCATAGGACCAGAGGAATAATT